AATGTCTATTACATGTTTAAAGCTTTAGTGAGATTTTCTAATTATGAATGTTCCTTCTAAAAATCATTCTTTTAGCACTGCAGAAAAGAAGAAGAAAACAGTTAATCTCCAGTATTGTCTAATGACCTCGTAACCTTTCTTTATAATCTGAAACATGTTTAATTTCTATATTTTATTCTTGTATACAAGATTGCAAAACCAGGTTCTGCTCCATTCTAATGAAAGTTTTACCAGAGAAGAAAGAACATTTGGTCCTAGTGAGGTATCATCATTTTCCCTGTGTAATGAATTGGATGTTTCAGGGTACTTCGATTGCTTGTTGGATGTTCCATATGATTTGGAGTGTGTTAGAAGACAAAACATATCATTTCCTGATTTCTTATGAAAACAATAATTGGTTGACTAAAAACTGAATGTGTGTGTTTATTCATCTGCTCACATTTATTCAATTGTAAGCGTGAAAGTACATATTATTATTATTACAGAGGAACTTTTTTTCTTTTCTTTTTCTTTCAATTTTACTCTTCTATAATTATTATTTTTCATTATATAGTAATTAACACTCTTTAAAAAGGTTACTACTTTCAATCTCTAAATGATCTCAAGCTTGGAAAACGGTCAGTGGTACACTTTTGAGACATGGATTGGATGTATATGCATGTCTACATGTAAGGACATTGCTCCTCTATATTGTAAAACTAGGTATACATATTCGGAAACAATTTTTGTGTTTCCTCAGCACTGTGAGCTATCCATTCAAATATTTGAGAAGGCATAGAAGCAGAACGAGTGAAGGTATATTTGACCATGGTATATAGTTATATCTTGTTATACTTCTTTCCCTTTTATAGTGCATTCTTATTTCTGCAATTACTCTGAATTTGTTATATATATATATATATATAATTTACTGCTCAATATTTATTTTAATAACTATTTTAAATTTTTAAATTTTATCAACTTTCTGACTGTTTCGTGTATGCTAGCTCTCCTAGTTTTTGGAGATGTAATTCTCTTATTTTGTTGCTTACAAAATACTTCTGTGTTGCAGGTATATCAATTATACCGATGGTGGGATAAAGCAAATATTTGATGCACCTGGAGCTCCAAAGATGCTTTCAAGGCTTGAGTCAGTGTCTAATTAGATCAAGTAAATTCTTTGGGAGGATGTTAATGGGTTAGAGGCGCATTTTTTTAACTTTTGTATTAAACAGCTTGTTAGATACTATAATACATTTGAGTTAAGTATTTGTAATTGTCATATATTTGAATCAAGTGTTTCTAATTATAGTATTTTGTATGACACGTGTAATAATAATTTTTGAATCAAGTGTTTGAAGTTTCTACATTTACATGTATGGAATAAAATTATATAGAAGTCAACAACGTAGAAAGCTATTTATTTATTTTTCAAAAAAAAAATTACTTTCTATAACGGTTCTCTCAAAACTGATATAAAATGTTTTCAATATGGGGTTCAACCACCCGATATGAAACGTTTCAGCTTTTCTATGTCGCCGGTATCTATATGGGGTTCACAACCGACATTAAAAGTCGAATTTAACCCATATTAAATGTCAATTTTCCACTAGTGAATGCATAATATCCACTTGCAATAATGCTTCTGAGAGTGGAGAGTGGTGTTTATCCTCATCATATCCCTCCTTTCCTTGCGTTAGGAGATCTCAATAAAAAATGCACTTGTGTTACCTGATAAAACCTCACATGTGGCATATTCAATCGTCTGCATTGGCTCCTTAGTTGGCTTGCAATCATTAAAGTAATTACTCTTGTAATTCCAGATAGGAAACAATTAATTCCAAATCCATTTCTACCTTCAAGTATAAATAAAGAATTACATCTCTTCTCAATAATTTGAACAAAGCCTCCAAAAGTATTAACATCCTGAAAGATGATACTGGAATTCAATTCTAATTTATTGTAAGCTCAGCTACCAGAAAAAAATTGGGGATAGAGGCCATCAACCAAGAAGCCTTTTTCAAATCAAGGTGAATAACAAAAATAATCCCATGTTTCATTTCAGAAATACGTAGTGCTTTGCTATTAATTATATGGAATTGAAATCATTCACTTTCAATTGAAATTTCACACCCATATGGCATAAGAATAGGCTGATACCTTTCTGGATTGCGCCTTTTCTGTTTGCAGCTGCATTTTGCCGTTGCGGATGACTCACCTATGAATACTGCTCCTTTGCCTGGTTGTGCATTTGCCCTGAGTCTATTGGCCCTTTTTATGCTTAAACTTACTAATTTCAATCGTGTTCTTCCAATTCAGCCGTGTTCTAGCAAGTTTTGAGGACTCACAACCGAAGTATATTGATCTGTAGCCTAGTCGACTCTGGTTTTGGCCAGTTGCAGTCGCCACACAAGCCTGTTGTTGTCGACGCCCACCGTCGTCGGGAGGGCAAACCCTGTTTGTGTGGATGTGGAGTGCCCGCCATCCGTGGGCAATCAAAACTCGGAGCTAAAATTCCGTCATCAACAATGATGAAGCCACATCGTCGCACAGGGTCTAGATCATGTCCGATTGCGGTCTCCTTCGAAGAATCCTCTGCCACCGAAGACAAACACAATATCCCACCATTACTCTTGTTGAAGTTCCACTGTGGTCATAGATCCCATCTGGTCTCAACTTCAAATTGAGTTTTATCCCAGATTTCTTGTGTTCCTGGGACATTAACCGAGAAAGATCCCAAAAAGAGAGGATATCATTCTGCCACGTTGCTGGTTGGCACACCGCCGCCGCCGGGAAGCCCTGGAATCGCCAACCCTACTAGTTCCTCAAGCCCCATATGCCACATACACACAAGTATAATATTGTAAAGGGAAAACTGTGTTTTGGTACCTCAATTAATCACCATATTGAAATGTCAGACCCATGTTTTTGAGATCGTAAATGTCACCCCCGAATCGACAAATATGTTGTAGATGTCATCCCCACCATTTATAATCCATCTCTAATTCTAGACTACCAACCAATTCGACGGGGATGACATTTATAGTACATCAGGGGATTCGGGTGTGTCATTAACAATCTTAGAAACACGGGTCTGACATTTCAATATGGTGACTAAGTGAGGGACCAAAAATATGATTTCCCTATTGTAAAAGTGTGATGCTCGAGATTAATTTAAAAGACTTAATATTCTACTCATACTAACAAGGTCCATCTCCTTTTAAGGGAACTCGTCAGCTAAGAACTCTACATTAAGCGTGCTTGCACGATAACAGTCTTGAGATGGGTGACCCTTTGAGAAGTTTTCAGACGCGCACGAGTGAGGAAAAAGTGAACGGTAAAATATTGTGTTGGTTTGTGAGGACAGTACTAGAAGTCTAAAGAGTATCTAAGAGTAACTATCTTGGACCCTGTGAGGTCAGCGTGTTACAAAAAGTATCTCATAGCAACCTATCAACATTCTTATCGCTCGAATGGGAGAGTATTGTTATGTAATTCAAAGGAAACACATAACATAAACTTTATTTTCGGTTCACTGAATGAAGGCGGGAGATGGGACCTTATGGAGTTTATTGGCACACACCTCTATGTCCAAATGTTGAGGGACAAATAAAGATAATGGGCATTGAAGATGAGTCTGAACATTGAAAGTCTATTACACTTACTGAAGGCGGAGGGTAGCGTCAATTACCCTCAACCCCAGCTTTATTATACTTGGCTAAGATCAGCGTATCAGAAGAGAAACATGGCTAATGTCACTTCGCCCCACGCTAATGTAACCACATCCCACACATATGTCATCTCGCTTCATCCTAGCGTAATGACATAGATAATAAAGGGACACATGTCTCATTTTCAAAGACTTAGAGATGACTTATTGTCTGATGTGAGTTTCCCTGCACTTAAAAATGTAGTAATATAGTGGTAAAAAGTACGAGTATCGTCTCCACGGGGACGGAAAAAGGGAATCAAGAATTAACTAAATTCAGCGATTAAAAAGAAATAAATAAAATAAAATGCAATTGTGCGAGATTGGTTGAATTGAAATTAACCTAATGCGAATGAACGATTAAATAAAAAAGTTGGTTTCTCTTTAATTAACGACGAAGGGAACATGGATTGATTCCGGGGTAACCCGATTTCTGGCAGATCAGGCCTAATTACATGAATTTAATTTAATTGAGCCTAGCTAATCATTATTAAGTTCTTACCGCTCTCGCGGCGTGGAGTACAATAATTTAGGGGACCAGGCTGAGCATAAATATAATTATACTATTAGTATTTTAAATATATCTTAATAGTATATTATACATTAAATCTGGATAGTAAAGAGAAAGACAAATGCAGGGCAGATAAGGATCCTCTGCAAAACTGATGCAACCCCAAAACAACAGTGAATACAAAACCAAACACAACAAAAGGTAAACAGGAGAGTACCGAAAGAGCCAAAAGGGGAAAACGGAAGAAAACTTACAATTCAAGAGGTTTGGTAGTAGACGCAGAAATATACAGGAGAAGAACCGCAGGTGAGAGAACTAAATTGGCGGACTGCAAAACCAAGAGGATCAAACTTGCAGATAACCAATAGCGATAACAACTGCGTGTAAAAAGCCAGCTGCGTGCGACGCAAATAAGAATGGTGTCAGCGGGTATTCCAGCGCGAATAAGCAAACGGGCGATATTTTGACGAGGTTGATACTCCGTCAGTGAAAACCGTGAATACTGTAGTGACGGAAGAGGACGAAAGTAAGCCTTTTATATAGTAGAGAGATTAATAGTATTATTATTTCTAAAAGAACTTTCAAGCAGTAACTTTTGTCCTAATTCCTATATCAGTAATATTGTAGTTGTAAGTGAAATGATATATACCCAAATTTGAAACATTTCATGCTTGGGCGAATTGCAGTTTTTATCTCTTTGACAATAACAGGGACACACGTAACTATTGACTGGAGTGGAAGTGTGGTCTTCTAATTGCGACACGCAATCAACTCTAATTAATTTGTTTTAAACGGTACTACAACCAAAATCGTCAGTCGTCACATCGCCATACTTTAGATCAAGAGGCAATTAAAGCAAAAAATGTTCCATTCCTATAATTAACATTAACATTAATTGATTGATTTTTTCTTCCTAAGAAAGTAATCCAGTGTGAAAGCGTGTGCCAAAACCCCACAAACAGTCTGTCTTCAAAGCTGTAAAGAAATAATGCGAAAATGCAAATGATCCGCAGAGTCGCACCATCCGCCATGGCCTCTCTCTCTCTTCCTTGTTCTAGGGTACGCGCGTGCTCTCTCTACATGTCTCTTTTACTGCTTATCGGATATGTTTGATCGGCATGATCTTCGGATTTGGTTTTCCTTTCTAATCTGCGCGTGGAGCAGATCTTTAGCTTTATATTTAAATTTCATCGATGGAGAGTTTCAACACGAAATCATTTAATTTGTCAGAAAAATTCAGATTCGTCTAGATGCACTTTTTTGCGTGGAGATGGCAATTAATCGAAATGAATGTAAAATCTGCGAGCCGCCTTTATTTTGATTGAATTTGTTTTGTGAAGATCTAAAGGTCTAACAGATTATAATTTTTCTTCTCCAGGAGAAGATGTGTTGTTTATTTGAAATTAACATGAAATGCAGTTGATTTCTTTTAGCATTAAGCATTAGCTGGCCTATTATCTACACATCTTGTTTATTTTGCTTTAATCAGTATGCCCAGTTCTTGTATTTTTTTTATTGTATTTAAATGCTTTATGTAGCCAGGGACAGGAATTGGTGTGTGGCCTGACATGAGACAGCTTTCTGTTAGGAAGAATCTATTGTATGTGTTTATGAGACTTTTTTCGATGCCATTCAAGACAATACGTGGTGCTGGCCGGACTCTCAAAGTTTCACATTTCTGTAGCATTACAAGCGTGTCTTCCACTCTGCAAATTGAATTGGTGAGTCAGGCTAAAAGCATCAATTTTATTTAAACACATGCTCAAAATCCGGTAATGTTCTTGTTTAAATGTTAGATGATTTTGCTATGTTTAGCTGAGTTTAGCGATAAATGGTTTACGTGAATTTTGATGATGTATATTCAAATCTGTATGGATTATGGAATTCATGGCCTGTTTTCCTGAAGATATGGAAAGTTACTATGCCTATGCTAGTTAGCTACTCCCTTTTATGGATTACTGGATTTCCTTATTTCCTACTCAATCTTTCTTGTTGTAATGGAGTGATGAGATATCACAGTTCTGGCATATTAATGAACAAGTATTTTGTTTATAGTTTTTTACCGCCTTGATATATTACCTACCTTTCAAAAAGTATCTCCTACCCTAGGAGGTGGTGGAAGTACTCCAAATGGAGATTTGAACCTGTGTTGATAATATATAAGTATTTCAGTTTTGTCAGCTCCTAAGAATAAAGTGACCCACATTACATTGTAGTTTTGCCTCACTTTTGTTTAGCAGAGTTATCTTAAGGACAATAATTGTTTTATCTATTACTTTTGCTTAAAGGACAACTATGCATAAAGGACAACTATTATTTGTCAGGTGCCTTGCTTAAAGGACAACTATGCATATCTACTGCATGATGTGGATACGGGTACTGTTGGAGTAGTTGATCCTTCTGAAGCGGTGCCTATCATAGATGCTTTGAGTAGAAGCAATAGAAATTTGACTTACATATTGAATACACATCATCATTATGATCATACTGGTGGGAACATGGAGTTAAAAGCAAGGTACGGGGCGAAGGTATGAAAACTTATCATAATACGAATTTATGAAGCTTATATGGATTCTTGATGGAATGGACTTGAATTTTCTATATCCAATTCAAGTGCTAAAGTTGTAAGCACTTACTTCATCAGTCTTTTTGTTGTGGTATATGATGAATTGAACATATTATGCAATTATGGACTAGATTCTGCATTTTGCTATGAGCATTGGATGTGCTCTTTTGGGATGCGTTTCACTTAATCTAAGCATTAAATCTATGCTAAGCATAAATAATATACAAAAGTATATGTATGCAGCTGTGACCTATTTACTTAAAACGCGCTAGCTTATTAGCTCTATCATGGATATTATATTAAGACGTAGTTAATAACTCGGGCTTGAAATGGTAGTTGTCCGCAAGGGATCCATGAGTTTGGTTTGTTAGTTCCTAATTGTGTCGGCTGCATCAGTCTTTCCAAATACCTTCAAGGTCATTTCTGCAATTCTTTGTTCTTGAATGCTCAGTTCAATAAAGAATTGCATAATATTGTGACCAAATTTCAATTATAGTCCCAACTTCTATGACCACAGCAGGTGAGCTTGGTTTGTTATCCAGTTTGTTGCATTAGTAATTCACAATTCCTTGGCTGGTTAAGTCCATCTTTAAGAATACTTGGTCCTATAAAGAAATGCTTAAATTGTGACGAAGTCTCAAATCTTCATGTCCAACTTCCAAGTGATAGGCTCTTACACATTTTATGGGTTAGAATTACTGATTTCACTTTGATTTGTACTGAGTAGCTGATTTTTTTCCTAATCAAGTTTTGATGGCTACACATTCTTCTAGGTTATTGGATCCAGAACCGATAAAGAAAGGATTCCTGGCATTGATATAGCTCTACGAGATGGGGACAAATGGATGTTTGCAGGCCATGAAGTTCTTGTCTTTGAAACTCCAGGACACACACAAGGTTCTATTAATATACTTAATATTTGATACCTGATGTCTTTAGATAGTTCCTCCATATGGTTAGCAGTCATGCTCTGCTTTAAGATCTATTTTAATGACAGGGTCAGCTTAAGTTAACTTAATTCAGCTTTATTATTAGTGTATGGTTTAACTATGGATTCTATTTCCTATTTTCATTAGTATCAAATTAATTTTTTGAAAGGAAAAATATTAATTATTATTAATCAGATCAAAGTTTAAAGAGGAAGAAATACAAGAAAGATGATTAACAAGCCAAATGTAGCGATCAGGCATAGAACAAGCGACCCTCGCTAATTCGTGAGCCACCCGGTTCGCAGACCGCTTCACATGAGAAAATGAGATGCTAGTAAAACTAGCCGAGATATCTCTAATATCATCGATAAGAAGTCTGACCATAGAATCATCCTCTCGAATTAATGCTCCGAATAACTTGTTGAGCGTCGGACTCCACGTCAACAAAATCCCATCCAGCTTCTCTTAACCAACTGAGTGCCTCTCTTATTGATAAAGCTTCTGCTATTGACGGAGAGCAACCTTGAAGCCCCCGGCTTACCCCTCCTGCTACAAAAGAACCAATGCTGTTACGAACTACCCACCCCAAGCCGCTACCTTCCCCTGGTTTTATGGCAGCATCTGTGTTCAGTTTTAAACGACCTGCCTCCGGCCGGCTCCAGCTCCTTGAGCTTCCCCGTTGCTGCGCTGACTTGTGAGGACCCTCCTGGGCCCTACTCCACCCCTCCAACATTGCTTTTGCCTCTGCCACAATGCAGCTAACTGGTATAGTTTTCTGCTCCCATACTTTAGCATTTCTTGCACGCCATATATACTCCAAAGAACCATCACAAACATTCTGCCGTGATCAACTTTCCTTGTGCTCAAGCATTTAGCCACCCAGTCCATGAAGCTATCCCCCGCGCTAGCTGGAAGGCTCCAAGCCTCCAATTAATATCAAGTTAATTGTTTCATTGTTTCGTTAACATATTGTTGTACTGCAATTTTCTTCTTCTATCAGTGTTTGTGTGCCTCAACTTCTTTCTACCTGCAGCTTCATATAGTTAGGTCTACACATTTATGGATGTTTTTTCTTCAGCATCCGAATACTGCAGTAAAAATCATGTCTTATTAACTTATTATGATGTCCATACAAGATATACAAAATGAGCAAAGCCTGCTAGTCTACCACTACGTTTATGGTTGCTTTTTCTCCATCCCGTCAAGCCGTATGATGTGTCATATAAAAAAAGAACCAAGCTCTTTACAAGTATACTCAATTATGAGTATGCCTAAGAGATCTAGTTAAGATGTCTGCAAGTTGATTTGCAAATGTATACAAGTCTAGTACCTATACCTACTACCTAGCAAATGTTTTCTGTTGGCTTTGCGATCCTCATGCTCCTTATCTTCATCCTCCATGTCTAAAATTTGAAGTGCATGCGAAACTTGTGATGGTAGGATCTTTCATTCTTATTTTGCATCTATTATCCCATTTCCCTATTCATAGGCTCTGGACACTTCAAATTTGTTGTGTCTTTGTCCTACAATACATGCATTTCCCGCTTCGTTCATTCCCAATTGCAATTTGCACTTCCTCTACGTACACTTAACAATCAATTGAATCAAGATAGAAAATGTCAAAAGTCAAAACACATATTCTAGCTGAACATTAGATCGTAAACATTTCAGAAGCTAACGTAACATATTTTCTTGCTGGACTAAATCATAAGCTTGTAAGAAACTTACTCAACATACTTTAAGCTGAACCTGATGTCCTGAACATCTGAAAAATTAACCGAAGTAACATCCAAGACTGTAATGCGACATTTTAAATTTAATAAACATAAAATGCATAAATCGGAGGAGAGTTGCATAAAAAACACAAACATGTTCGGAACTAATTCAACATATTTTCTTTCTAGCTTAACATGAGGTCCTGAACTTGTCAAAAACTAACTGAAGTGTTGAACTAACATGGAAGA